AAATTTATATTTTATTCAAAAATAAATAAAAGCATTATCGCTTTCTCAATACCACATAAAATTGTATTATATCGACATAGATAAAAAATAAAACGAAATATTGAAATCGAAATATGTCTCGATGTATTGAACGATTACCCTTTTAATAAAGTCTCATTCATTTTGATTTTAAAGCTCAAATTTTGATAATTTATGTTTTATTTTCTTTATGTTCTTTTTTATTTATTTTATGGTATAAAAATATGAGACGTTTTTTGGTTGGTTGCTGATTTTATGTAGTATTTTGATGTATTAATAGAGTCCAACAATTATTTTGTATTTGAACATGTTTATTAGTCAGTTATTTGATAATTCTTTATACTCTAATGATGGAACTATAAGAAGTTATATGTATGTTGTAATAAGTTGTAAACTTGAATTTTAAAATATTCAAAAAATAATTTATATCAGTATAGATATTTTTTTTTATTATCCTGGATATCCAACCCGCTATGCGAGCCGACTAATCCCAGGACGACCACCTGCTTTGCAGATAGCTCGGAGTCACTGCATTTTAACCTTCATGACTACAAGGGGATTTTTATTTCTCTTGGATTTAAACTTGAGACCTCCTGATACTTTTGACTTTTAGAGTCAAGCTCAAACCAATCAGACACCACCCTTGTGATTTTAGTATGGATATTTATATTTAGACATGAACATATATGTAATTAAAATTTTGAAAATAGAGTTGAAATATTTAAAAATATACATATATCGATATGAATATTAAATTAACAAAATAAAATACTTATTTTTTATATCATTTATTTAATTAAAAATTAATTATATTTAAAATAATTTATATTTTAAAAGATAAGGTAAATATATAGAGTTAATAAAAACTTGATTTATTCAGAAAGGTAATATAAAAGCCTTTCAAACTTTCATTCTTATTGTTTACAAAAATGACCAGATAGAAATATTATCAATACTATATTATAAAGAATTTGACAAAAACTCTTAAAAATCATTTTTTATGTATTAAGTATTGTTTATTGATGCATATTACTTAAAATTCATGATTACAAGTAAATTGTCGGTATGTACAACTTATTAAAGCTTCATGTTTGAATTTGTGTAACTAACTACAGATAAACATAATCAAATTCTGGATAAATAGCTTATTTTAAATATAAAAAATCTAAAATATATTTGTGATAATCATTGAATTCAAAATACTAAACATTATCTTTATAAAAGAATTATATTATTAAACCAAAAACAAATGACTTCATTATTAAATCTAAATTAAATTATAATAAACAATAGAATTAAAGAAATTACACAAAAAACAAGAATTTTTAAATATTTAATTTGATATTGAAATCGATGTATTTTTTTCAAATTTTATGATACCTTCAAATTTATATATTATTCAAAAAAATAAAAATATTATCGTTTTTTCGATACCACATAAAATCATATTATAACATCGACGGAGACAAAATAAAATGAAACATTAAAATCGAGATGTATTTCGTTGCATTACGCTAGTACCCTTCTAGTAAGAATTAAAAGATTTGTATCGCTATTGATTTATACTTAATGTTCTAATAGACGTATTTTGAAAAATTAAGAGTTTTTTAGAGGAAAAATTAAGAGTTTTTAAGAAAACAAAATCTCAAGCGATTTACAATGTAGTACAGATATTCGTGTATAAGGGCATGCTCGGAATCGTAAATGTCTTGAAATCGTGAGAATCAACCATTCATGAATCATTAATGATGAATATACCTAAATATTCAATATTATTTATCATACATTTTTATTATTAATTTGTGATTTTTATTATGAATTTATATCACGATATTCATCATTAACAATTCATTCGTAGTTGTTTTTCAGAATATTTATGTCAAATAAACATGTTTATGTATAGGGGTTTAATCATTTGAGAACTCCACAATTTATGAGATCTGAGAGATCCATCTTAAGCTAGTAACTTGAGATAATTAATGAAATTTTTAAGAAAAAAAAATCAAAATTCAGATATATCTATACTATATAATAAAACACTTGACAAAAACTCTTAAAAACCATTTTTATGCATAAATTACTGTTTATTGATGCACATTACCTAAAGTTCAAGATTAGAAGTAGATTGTGCCTATATACAACTTATTAAAGCTTCATGCTTGAATTCGTGTAACTAAATGTAGATAAACATCTAATTTTAAATACAAAAAATCAAAAATAATTAGTATAATCATTGAATTCTAACTAGTTATTATTGTCCCTTCATATGAACGAACTATATTATTCGAATAAGTTGCAAGAGTTGTCACTCTTACTAACTTTACATGAGAAGATTCTTGACGATCAACATGACATTGTATACGACACTCTTACCATATAAGCGTTCATCAGTAGAGTTGTCGCCCTATTCACCAGGTAAAACTCTCGTTCATTGTCTTGCCTCTTACAGGGTAACATTTTCGACCCTTTGACATGCTAATCCGGTAAGGTAATTGACTCAATAAGCGTTTGATAAATGGTCCATTAGTGTTAGTCAACTAACATATGAGCTAACAAAAACTACTCGATATAGGTAGAATACTAAAAGAGTTAAAAATATTTTAGTTAAGAACAAAACAAAAAAATATGATCTGGGTGAGGTTTGACAACTATTAAGTTGTAAATTTAGGTCTCTTTGAATAGTTTGTGGCTGGTGGAAGTGGTTGCACAGTGGCTGATGAAGTTCTTCAACACCATCCCAAAACGACATGCTTGAAGGGTAGATACTTAATTTGGTGGTTCCATTTTACAAGAACAAAAGGGACGTACAATGTTGTGCCAACTTCGTAATATAAAGCCAGTTAGCAAGAGAGAAAAGAAGAGTGTGTGATTGAGTTCATGGTGTTGTATGGGACAAATTTGGCGTAGAAACCATTTCGTTTCATGGAGAGTATGGAGAGCAAATTGAGGAGCTCGACAGGGTATTTTATAGATATGTAGAACACCTATGATATCATGTCACATAACATGATTTGGATAAACATGGAGCAAAGAGGTGTATTGTGGAGATATGTTGAAGCAGTATAAGATATGTACGATCGGTTGAGGACGTGTATCGGAACTTCAGTGGGTGACACAATTACTCACAATGGAGATAGGGCTACACTAGGGATCAACATTAAGCCTGTTCATTTTTTCTGTGATTTTGGATGAGATCTACTGAGGGATCAAAGGAAGTTTCCCATGGTGTATGGTATTTACTGACAACGTTGCTCTAGTAGTCGTTTCAAGGACAAAGATGAACAAATGCTGGTGTAGTGGTCGGTGGCATTGGAAACACAAAACTCGCATATTATTTGATCCAAGACCAAATACCTATAATGAAACTTCAGGTAAAAAAAATTATCGTCGAGGGGGTATATGTCCACAGTTATGGATCAAAGGAGACCTAAAATAATATATTCAAGTATCCATTGCGATGGTTTGGACATGTTCATAGGAGACAAATATCAGTGGCAATAAGAAGGGTAGACAGCATGACAATCGGGGTAAAGAAGAGGGGCACGTCGAAGAGGACGTGATATGAGCAGTTGAGGTTGGACATGACGACCTTAAACGTATTCGATGACATGTCATTTGATAGAAGCTCTTGGAAATGCAGGACTAAAGTAGCAAACTGTTGTTACGAACAGGAAGCTGAAAGCATATAAGATGAGTTAGATGGAAAGGAGGAAAGCCAATAAATAAGATAATAAAGCCTTAAGATAGATAAATGGACGTTAGCTCGCAGTACTGTTCCTATATCTTCCTTTGTTTTAATATTGTTTTACGGAATCTACCTTACTATTTACTATCTTCTAGCATTTGTTCTGCACTTTTACTTTTCGAAAGCTCTTCGTATATAACATTTTTAAGTCCCAAAGCTTGACCATACATTTCATTTTTTTCAAACCCGTTGAAGTACTCGGTTCTTTACAAAAATACATCTGAAAACACTTTTGCAAAAGTCACAGGTCTTCACGACAATAGTTGGATTACCCTTTGAGATAGAGGTCATGATTACGTACATCCCACCATACTTTTAAGCAGAACATGTCCTACGTTTTAATCTCTTTTTTATTCTATTTTACTGTAAAATATAACATAACTGTTACAACATAAAATACTCATAAATCATTAAAATTTCGACTGTAATTACGTATGAATACATAATTAATTATTAATTAATCTCTTATATTAAGACATAACAATATTCTATTTATTTTAAAACAATTATCAAAAAGATTTTTTTTTTGTATAGTCTAAGATCAATAT